AAAGGGAGGGAAAGTTCTTGCTTGCCTTTGAAATCAGAGGTTGGAACTCTTCTCCTCAGTCCCCGCTTGTTGAGGCCTTGGATCCTAGATAGGTAAAATGTTCAATCTCTTCGACTACTTCCTAGTTCTACGAGATGGATTCCCTGACACTGCTGTTTATTCGCAAGTGCCCGGTCTTCTTGGTACTGATATTGAGACTTATGTTCCCTGTTAAAGTTGCCATGGTGTCGATCTTTGGCTGCTTGTCCTGGTATCGGTAGGAGAGCAGTGCAATATCATCAGCGTACTCGAGGTCTTCCACTAGCTACTCTAGTCACGTCCATCTGATCCCTCTTCTTCCTCTACTAGTCGCTCGCTTCAATATCCAGTCGATCCCCAGTATAAACAGAAAGATGGAGAGACTGCATCCTGTTTGACGCCAGTGGTTACGCTGACAGTGTCTGTCAGCACTCCGTTACAGATCACCTGGGACTTTAAGTCACTTTAAAGCATGTTGATTACTCTCACCAGCTGTGATGGGATTCGATAGTGCTTCAAAATCTTCCACAAGGAATCTCGGTGGATGCTGTAAAACACCTTCTCGAAATTAACGCAGTTATCATAAAAGGGGGAAATTCCATTTCCTCGCACTCTTCTGGGACTTACCTCAGAGCGAAAATGTGGACAGTGCACAAGCGTCCAAGGCAAAAACCCACCTGTTGCTGCCGTATTTTTGGTAATGGAGAGAACAGTGGTGCCTCTCTAGTTCGTATATACTCTTCTTACAGGCAATATGACGATAAGTCCCGTCTATCATGCCCCGGAAATCGGTTTGTTTCCTGCATTTCTCTGAATATGTTCGTCAAAAACCGCGGTGTTTCATTTTCTTCAGCCTTGAGTATTTCTGATGAGACTTCGTCTGCTCCACCTACCTTTCCACTCTTAATTGCAGCCTTGAAACTAAGGAGCTAGCGCTGATGCACAACGATTCTTCAGCTCCCATCTAAGTCTGGTCGTCTCCCTGTTTACCAGAATTTATCTGCTCCTGTTTCAAGATTATGTTCAATGACTGTATCTGTGGTCTACAACATCTCGTAAGGAGCCTCTTCACTTTCTTGTGATCAGAATGAGACATGATGTATCTGACTTTTGGTTGTTCTAGTGGGTGGAGTCCACGTCATCTTGTGGATGTCCTTATGTTGGAAAAGGGTTCCTCCTCTAACCATTTTGTTTTCTCCCTAAAAGAAACGTAGTCTCTAGCTCTCGATTATTATTGCTGTTACTTACGCCGTGTTACCTCATTACACCGGTACTCTCACTGTCACTGTTGTTGCTTCCCGGTCTGGCATTAAGGTCTCCCACCACCACGAGCAGGTAATCTGCATACACCTGATCATAAAAGGCATCCTTGTCTGCCTCGAATGTTTCTTCAGTTGATTTGAGCCTTGAGAAATCTCAAATCAGATGATTTCGATTTGATGACTATCGTTTCCATCGTCCGGCTCATGATCACGGCCACCACTTCCGTATGTTGATAATTCATCTACTAGAATAAAGTATGCTCTGCCCGGATGCAAGTTCTTGTCCATCGCGCTTCACAGACTCCAAGTATCACGAGGTCATAGTTATAGAACACTCTAACCACCTGGCGAGCTTGCAGGTCTTGCACAAAGTTGTCACATT